AGTTTTTTTCTTGAAAAAAAAATTCATTTGAGAAAATGTATTTATTGATTTATTATTTTTTTTAAATATTTTTTACAAATATTTTAAATTAATAAATTATTATCGTGTAAATAATATAATATAATATATAATAATATAAATATTTAACATGATCTATTTTAAAGGAATTCATATATTTCAATTTATGATATTAACAATATTAGAATATAAAGACTACATATTTGTATTTCTTTTTTATTCATATACGTTTTTTTTAATAAATGCTCAAATGAAAAACATGCATATTGCTAGATGCAGGTGTTAACTACAATAAACTAAGATATATTTAATTCACATAGAGAGATATGATATTATTTAGTTATAGATATGATATTATTTATTTACAGTAAATAATGCACTATACAGATTCTTTAATAATTCTTAAATAATCACAAATAATTAATCTTCATGAGAAAGAAAAACGTTAATTCAATATATTACATACATTATAAATATTATAATCATGTCATTGTTTTGAGCATATTCACACTTAAAATACAAAAAGAGAGAAACGAACACCTGGAGACAATAATAATTGTTTTGGAGCCAAAAGATTGTTTTAGGGAGCATTTCTGTCACTCATAATTTAGTCACTTATTTGTAAATAAATAAATGCATGCATTGCAGTTTTATTTCTGAAGGATATTTCACAGCATCACTTAAAAGCTTTAAAACAAGCTGCAAAGACAGGAAGAAGGATGTTCATTGCAGACTGTCAAAAAGCTCATTTTTATCATACTAGTGGGAATTAAAATATATCGAGACGCTGTTAATAGACTGCATGGGGATGTAATATAATTCATATTGATCTGATATTGTTTGTTTCCGCTCTAAATGGCAAAAACATTTCAGAAAAAAACACTGCTTATGCAATTCTATAATAATTGGACTAATAAAATAATGCAGTTATTTAGCATATTACAAAATACCTGAATACAATGATATTAAACTAATTTGACCATTTTCACGCATGGGGTTTATGTCGTTCTGCATGTCATCACCTTTCCATCGGCAACATTTGACTAAGTTGGCATTATCAGTCGCCGTGGAAACGGTGAGTCAGAGCATCTGCCATTTGTGTCTTTGTCTGAGGTTTTTAATCAGACGGTCATCCATTAATAACGGAGCTGGGCTGGTTTAGTAACCGAGTCCTCGACACGAGAGACGCTCAGCCGGCCAAGATCCACCGGCTCACATGTCAGCATCAGGATGCCGTTTCACACAAGACACACTGTAACATGTAGGCAGTAGTTTAGCTTGTGATCTTAGTTGTTTCTTACGCTTATTTTGTTAGGCCTATATTTTATATCGTACGATAACGCGGTCATATAAGCCTTCTTGTCATATGATGCTTTGGTAGGAAATATGATGATGATTCTTGGGTGTACTGGCAACTCATTTACTAATGAGAGTTCAAAAGTGCAGAGGGTGGGTGATTATTATTGTGATGGATATCAGCTGCTGAATCAGAACAAAGCTGGAGTCCTGATCAAGCAAACACTATTTGTCCTTCATTCTGCATCACTTTCAACCCCATTTTTCTAGCCTATATAGTTCCATAATTGCGTTTCCTGCGTAGGCCACTTATCATTTCTTGAGATAACAAATCCCAACACATTACCTCTAAGCTATGTAGTCCAAATTTGTTTTAAGTGAAAATAATGGAGACATTAACGAATATAAAATAAGAGTATCACGCTTCTCCCGTGAGTTCGGCGAACCGCTGGGACTGGTCACGTGACCGCAAACCCGATTCCAGCCAATCACTGCGGCCGTCTCGGGCTGGGCATCACGTCATGTAGGCCTGTAGCCTTCTTGAGCATCGCACTGCAGATAAAGGCCTCTAAATATTTCATTGAGGAGATCGTGTTTCTCCAGCACTGGAGGTCAGGGCTTTGGAAAGAAGCAGTATACGCACTGTCCCGTTGCTCGACGTCTCCTTCTCCTTGACTGTTTACGGACAGATTCTGACTCAGTGAAATGTTAATGGGGGAAAGACTGGTAGAAGAGTTATAACTGAGTATAACGGGTGTGTTAAAAGCACAGAGAAATAGAAGAGGGAAGGAAAAGGAGAGGAAAATGTAGGAGGGTGAAGGAGAGTAATAGCCTACAGTTTGTATTCATTTTTAATTCCATCTCTTTCTAAAGCTTGAAAGAACAAGAGGGGACAGATTGCTGCGTGACAGAGACATTTTGCCTGAAAGATTAATTTGCCTTATATTACTAAATTGTTTCTCCCTTGTAAAACGAGAGTGACATCGTCCCCTGCAGGCCACTAATGGTACTACATTTGAATTAGGATTCTACTTTGTGTAGCCTAGGGCACACCTGTTGGTCAATGTTGAATTCTGCAAATAACATTGGAAATTTTATAATAATATAATTAATATAATATAATAAATTATGATGTAATTCATAGGCCCACTCTGTACATTTACATGGCATGAATGATTTCTGCTGTGTCTTTATGCTATAATCTATAAAGTCTATTTTTGGGATCAAATGAAGAGGCTTTTTGCTCGACTTGCAACAATTTTAAAATGTTTGGCCACTTCGATAACATGACTGTCATCTAGTGGTGGTACAGAGTAATAACATCATGCAAATAAGTGATAAGGCTGTGGGAATGTTTGTATTAAACAAGTAGCCCTTGAGGCTTTACAATTCGCCCACTCATCGAATTTGAATTGTGGCTGGCATTCAGAATATATCTGAATATTTGTCATCTATAATCAAATATATCAGAATATCATTTGATTTGGGTCATTCGTGCAGTATAATTTGAGCTTTGTATTTTTTTTTTTCAATGTGTTGTAATTTAAGTATTTTTTAAGTATATTTATGAAAGAATATAGCATAATATAGTGGAAATATGCTCGTCAAACCCATGGCTATATTCAAATTCGTTATATTTTAAAAAGATTATATGATCATGCTCATTATGAATTAGTATTATGAAACGTCAAGTGAAATAGACCAATCTGTAACCCAAAACATAATAGAATTCATAAAAACTGATTTTTAATACTGAATTGATGTTTGTGTTTTTTTTTTCCACTAAAAAATGACTTCCTGGAAGATTGCGTCATGTGGAACTGTGTTTGATCTCATTAAAGGGGCATTACAAGGTTTCTACCAGAGTAGAAAATTAAATTGAAGACAGTAAAATATTCACACTAATGACCAATTACAACAAAATAAAAATAATTATTGAACTTTATTGCGTTTTATTATTTATTAACAAATAAATTGAGTTTCATGCTAGAAGTCAGCATATAGCGACCAAACAAGGACATGAACATGACAGAAAAACATACATACACTTGTTTAATATCCACCCCATGTTCATTTAATTGTGATATTGTCATAAAACTAGTTTACTTATTTATAAATTGAGAGTTTAACATTTTACCAAATGTATTAAGATTTAGGCCTATACCATGGGGACACTAAAATATTTTAAATACAAATATAGCAACCACACAAGGACATGGACATGACAAACAGGACAACATTCATTCAAATTGTTCATTTAATTGTGATATTGTCATAAAACTAGTTTACTTATTTATAACTTGAGAGTTTAACATTTTACCAAATGTATTAAGATTTAGGCCTATACCATGGGGACACTAAAATATTTTAAATACAAATATAGCAACCACACAAGGACATGGACATGACAAACAGGACAACATTCATTCAAATTGTTCATTTAATTGTGATACTGTCATAAAATTATAATTTCCTTAACATTTTACCCAATATACTGTAGATATAGAGAGTATACTAAGATATAGAGTGAATTCAGGTAAAGTGGGGCACATTTTGTTAAACCTGTAAGTTAGATACCCAGATGTTTTGCTCTTCAAAATATCTTATTTTGTGTTCAACAGAAGACAGAAACTCATACTGGTTTGCAACAATTTGAGCGCGAGTAAATGACAGAATTTTCATTTCTGTCTGTGTGAACTATTCTTTAAAGGTTCAGCTGTACTTTTTACATTTGAATTCAATTCATATAATTTGTTATTTGGAAAGTATATACCAATAAATATTTTGAGATCATGCACTCCAGACTAATGTTTTTTCAGGTCCAGCTGGTCTGGTAAAGTGGGTCATCTCTCAGTTCATCAAAAAAAAGATCCTGTAACTAGAAAATTCTAGAAACACAATTATTTATTTAGGCACTAAAATGTTCTGAATAAAAATAATGACCAATTTATCAGAGAAAACAAAGATGCAAAGCAGTTTGTACACATTTAATGTTTTATTAAAAAAGAAGTTATTACAGTTTACTGTACACAGCTATTTAAGAGATTATAATCCTATAGATAAAGAGCATTTGTCCCTTGTGACAGGCATGCCCACTTCACAATGCAAAAGAAACAAAAAATAATGGCAAAAATAAAAAGAGTAAGATTAATGGATAAGGAAATAAAAGGGGCAAATTACCATAATACCTGGGATAAAAAAAAAAAACTGAAATAAAAAAAATAAAAATAAGTATTTTTCTTTTTTTTTTAAATCAGCGTATCACACACTAGGTACTAGATACAGATACTATTAAAAAAAAATTCCATGCTGTGTGCCCACATAAGCCCCATGTCTGAGCACCCTCTTGAAGCACAGGTATAAGGGACTAAAGGAGTGGACAGCCAGGACTGAACTAGACTGGACTCTACACCGGATGCATGCAAAGTGCACTGGAGAGTTCAACAACACAAATGCAAGAGACGCGATGCCATTGGCTGAGAGGGCCAGCAGGGGGAGCCTCTGTGGCCACAGCAGCAGCCGGAAGACAGATCTCTTCCTCCTCTCTCTCTGGCAAACATACAGCTGGAGACCACAACATTAATAACTGCTGTCCCCTGGATGTGTGTGTGTGTGTAGATGTTTGTGTGCGTGTGTAAGCACTGGGGCCTTATGGGTGCAAAACACAAAGGACACACTTATTTATTCCACCCCACCCACTAAATATGTAAAAAAAAAAAAAAAATCTCCCTTCAATCCCAAACACCTTTTGTATCATGTCCATCTGGAGCAGGTAATACATCTGTTATTGACATGGGGAAAAAGAAATAGGAAACCAAAAATTAGTAAATAAATTCTCACAAAAAAAGTATAATTTCTAATTGGAATGGAAGCACACTTATACATGTTTATTTGAGATTCTCAGACTCTTTAGTCATTTTACTCTTTGACATGAATTAAAAAGAAAAGGAAAAATATATAGTTCAAACTAAATGTCCATATTTTGTCTCTCTTATTAAAGTCCAGGGCTCAAAAATGAAGCAGAAATGAAATAGAGAAGCTGAGTTTGTCGTGTTCGTCAGGGTGTGTGTTGCTAGGCATGGCAAAATGTTTACCGTGGCAACCAAACCACATCCGAGAAGCATTTTCTTCCATATGTGTCTGAAAGATGTGAAACAAAGCCACCTCTAAACGTATGCCGTCTCTCTCCTTGTAAGATAACTTTCTCTTAATACAATACTGCATATAAGTGGTGTTGTTTCTTTTGTCTTGAAAAAAATTAACCCCCATCAACAGATTTAGACTCAAAAATGTTCAACTGAGACAATTTTCTTTTTTCCATTGCACAATTTGGCCAATTCTTGACTCAGGCTAGAACATCAAATGTTTTGCCCATAAAACATCAAATTTAATTAAAAAAGAAAAAAGGAGAGAACATAAAAAAGCCCCTCCGTGGGAACAACATAGGCAGCTCTGGATCAAATCACATGAGCCGAACTGAAACACCTCCCCTTATATGCCATTCCGTCAGGGGTCGACGGCCGTTTTTCGGGAACGTCGTACTCTTCACTTCAACCCCGCTTCATTTACATTTTGGACGATGAATGGATATACATGTGCATTCAGAATGCGAGATTTGTGAGAATACTGCAAAAAACAAACGCACACAAACTAAATCTGGTTCTTCGTAGTACCAACATGCCACTGATGATATCTGCAGAGGTTGAAATTCAAAAGCTCTTTATACAGAAGACATCTGCCCGTTTCCACACTGTCACAGCAAAAACCTACCTCAGTGTTACTCGACTGTCCCCTAAAACCACAAGGCAGATCTTACCACATGGGATCCTTCTGATAATATCTGTATAATATCGGACAAGCAGGTTACAAAAACTAAATCCATATGAACATCTAATTTTGATTTCACCACCCAGTAAAACTAACTAGATCTACATGAGGTCAAACAACAGCTATCATAGTTATACACAAGCAATAGGAAAAGATGATGAACTCTACAAATGTTAGTAAAAATCTCTTTTTTTTGTCTCTTTTCTCTTTAAGGTTTCTTCTAGGCTAGACCAACAAAGTCCTACAGGACTCCACTTCCGCATCATACAACAAATGTACAAAAAAAGATGCTCGTAAAGAGGGAGAGGGTGCGAGACAGAAAGAGGAAAAAGACAAACACTGTGCATACAGTGTTGGTACAAAATAAAAGATTTGTGCTCCGTAAAGCAGGACAGTCACTTCCTGGTCGTTTTGTGAAGGTCACCGTGGAAGGTCACACAGCGTAGAGCCACGTTTTGTGGTGTGGGGCTTCCACAACGAGGCAACAAAAGCCAGAAACAACATCGAGCTAGTGTAAAAGTTGAGCTTCGGTGTGCTAGCCTCTACACCTACATCCTCTTTAAAAAAAAAAAAAAACGCTCATGGAACTTAAAGGGAGTCGTATTGATATTTTCCGCTGGCGCTGTATCGTGGGCTTGATCGGTGAGCAGCGTTTTGTAAAATCCTGATGCTTGCTTTAACATACAGCGTGGAAACTTGCCCCTCGAGGTAAGACCAAAATAAAAAGAAGAGGAATTCTTCTAAAGCGTTTTTATCTTAAAACAGAGTAAACAAACAAACGAAAAGTTAAAAAAAATGGGACAACCAGGAAAGCATCGATAATTCAAAATGACTTGCACTGGGATGATCGAATGGGATCGATCAAACCGCTGAGGTGGAGGGAAGTAATGAGGCAAAACGTGTCCGATCCATCTGCAACAACTCCACCTGAAGACCGTCCTGGCAAAAGGTCTAAGCCGAGGGGATTCATGTATCAAAGCATCACAAACACAACTCTCAGTATGTTAGTAACATCACAAGGGGACAAAAAAAAGGGCACCCCCGTTTAAATACGGCCTCTGTCTGGACAGTCTGCGTCGGAAAAAGGTGGATTAGGGAGGCGATGACATGCATTCCAGCTACGCAGCTACCAACGTGGAATCAAGGGGGGAAACTCTACAAGCCTTTCTTTTGTTGGGGTGACGGAGAGAGCGAGTGAGAGAGTGAAAGAGAAAAAAAAGGGGGAAAAAAACAACCACCAAGAAGTAGAGATAGAACACCTACAGAGGGTGCCATATTCATCATCAACGCTAGATATCCATAAAAATCCTGGTTTAGTAATAATAATGATAAAAAAAAAAATCACCTTGTTTAAATATGAATCTTTTATAGTCTGCTTCGCATGGTTAGGAAATAATATAGTCTCTGTGGTAAAGGGGAGAAACTGTCACCCTTAACTACAACTCCATGTCCTGAGCTTCGTCCTCTGAAAAGTCAGACATGGAGCTTTCTGAAGAGGAGTCGCCCGCTCCTTCCTCCTGCTCCTTCAGAGCCTCCTCTGTTGCATATTTCTGGATGTTTTCTGAATAGAAACAGGGACAGAAAGAGATGGATGGGAAAAATATGGTCAGACATAAAGCAAATATTTCACTACAAGAAATAGCCAACAAACTTGATTCATTATGTTTAATTGTAGGCTAAAACATAGTAAAATCTGAAGTTTCTAAAATAGTTTTTTTTTTTAAAGAAATGCACACCAAGAGTGCATTTATTCAATAAAAAAAAAACATTAAAAACAGTAATATTGTGAAATAGTTTTACAATTAACTGTTTTAATTTTTTAATACATTTTAAAATGTCTTTTATTCCTGTGATGACAAAGCTGAATTTATAGGTGACAGATATAAACCTCGAGGCCAGATGGAGGTTAAACCAAGAAAACACGAAGTCAAACAACGTCAGCTCTTCAAATCACCTTTGATTTTCTGTTTGTAGTCCTCTGGTCGGTGTAGGTACATGGCTGCGGCGTCCCCGTTCAGAGGGTCGATGGGGTTCGGGTAGGCCAGCAACTGTGGCAAAAACGACTCGAAGATATTGGTGAGATCTGTGAGGAGAGAGAAAGAGAGGAAGTAGAGCCTTTAATACAGGAGCAAAGCAAAAGTCTTATGAGCCCTTCGTGCAGCACACAATGGAGGATTTATGTTGAGTGACATGATTATGGCCTAATCTCCCATTCGGTGTGGGGGCTGTAGACATACATGTAGATCTCTCTCTTTCTTTCTCTTTTTCTCTCGTAGCTAGTATTGTGTGTTCTAGCTGTCACTCTATTATACAAACACAACTTGGACAGCTGAGTACATCTAAACCAAATACAAGAATATATAGTCAGCCTGTCATTATGACTAAATAAATCCCTGGTGATCAGGAGGCACTTATTCCATGGCAATAAAATAAAATAAATTAAAATAAAAAAATAAATAAAACAAAAACAGAATAAAAAATTTTTGGGTTTATTATGTGGGGAAAAAAGACCACAGAGTGATACTTCAGGAACAAAAATGAAATTTATTTATATATATATATATACACACACACAGACACAGACACAGACACAGACACAGACACAGACACACACACACACACACACACACACACACACAGATTTAGTTTTTAAATTGATAAACAACCAGTAAATTTATATACAACTATTCAAACACAAAACGCAGACCAATCAGAATCAAGCATTTCAGAATACTATCATCAAATCTAGGCAGCAAATCAACTACTGAATGAAGGCTCAAGTCACCATTTTAGGAAAATTGTAATTATTGTATTATTATAAAAACAGAGAGACATCTGCAAAAAGAGACAGCAGTGGTGTTGTGAATGATAACTGGTCGGATGGGGCCGCTTAAGTGTGGTTGTTGGGGAGCTGATGCTGTTTTCTGACCTTGCAGGTATTAGGTATTGACATAGGGTAAGAGGATTACAGTGCACCGCGATCCTGTCTAAGGGGCCGCAGACTTTATTCTACTCCTCAGGCAGCATCAATTCAAGCTATGGAGTTTTCTGTGCATTTATTCTCAATATTCATGACAGCAGACACAAGCACAATGACTGTGCTCACATATACGTACCATAAAGAGCGGTCCATGTCTGGTTGATCACATCTAAACACACTGTCCCTGACCTGGACAAAGAATAACACATTGTTTCTACTTTTCCATTCCAGAATAGTGTTACCACTTACATTTTGCAGGAGGTATGCAAACTTTTCATTTTTATTCGCTTTGTCATTTCGCTCTTGGTGTGAATAGACTTTTTTTTTTTTTTTTTTTTTTTTCATTCTCTTGCAAATGTCTATTCACACAAGTCCCGGCCTGCCATAAGGCTCTCACCCATTAGAGTGGCAAGAAGTGAAACACACTAATAGTTTACAGTGATGCCAGCACAAGAGTGCAGAATCCTTCAGATTTGTGCTTCACCACATGGCTGCAGTTGTGTGTGTACATAGAAAGATGGAAACTTGGGTCTGAGAGTGGAATGGCACTGAGGAAACACACACACACACACACACACACAGAGGAATTTATGAAAGATAGATTGGTTTTTTTTTTTGCTGAAAACCAGTGTTGTTATTGTTAACTAAAACAAATAAAATAGAAAAAAAAAGCTGAAATAAAATAAATTAATTACAACCTTAAATTAAAATTAGAAATGATAGCTTGGCTTAGTTGAAGTACTAAAATGACAAAAACTAAAACTGAAATAAAAATAAAGCTCTATATTGAAAGATATATATTTTTAATTACAAAAGCACATAAAATGACTGCAACTTCAACTAAAATAAAATAAAAACTAAAAATATAAAAATAAATGCTAATGAAAAAAAAATTATACTATGACAGTATATAAAAAATTACAAAAATACTGCTGAAAACAAAAAGGAAAAAAAAAATTGTTTGCCATAGTTGAGGTCAAAAGTTGCACAGAGCGTAGAATTAAAATATGTGGTTTGAAAAAAAGAAAGGCAGATTTAAGCAAACAATTCTTCACAAAACTAATGTATGTATAAACCTTTATTTGAGCGTCTGCTAAATGACTAAATGTAAAATGTAAATGTAAATGTATAGCTTTGAAAGACACATAAATTGTTTGGACACTCTTTGGTCGATTTTGAGTTTGACAGCCTCTGGACACTGTATGTTTTGAATATATAGGAAAGAGTAGCATGAAAATTCTTCACAACAAACATTTTTTTTTAGAAGAGCTTTAGAAAGACATGAGTGTGAGTAAAATACATATAAAAACATTTTCCTCAGAGCACACCAGAAGGCAAAATCAGAATCAAATTCAGACTAAAGAGACTTACGCTTCATCGATGTTCGGATGAAAAATCTTATTCATAAATCCTGTAGAGAGATTGAAGAAGAAAGATGGAGTGAGATCATAGATAGTTGCATTTAGTTGCTATTCCTAACCTTTCTCCTACCACACCATCTTTACAGACCATTAAATATGACATCACAGGGATGTTATGTGCTGTTTTTCACCTTACACACCTCAAGTATGATTGTCTGAATGTACTCTACCCATCATTTCACAACCACACCAACGTGTGTGACTTCTAAAGGGCACTCAGCTGATTATGTCTCTTTGGGATACATCATGTATAGTAATACTTTACCTATAGAGGGCGATTTGAAGGGGTATTTGTCTGGAAGATCTACTCGCACCTTCCATACACCCCCTTCATATGGTGCTGACAGGAAAAACAGAAAGAGATACACGACTATTCAAGCAACAATTCACATCTGCTCTAGCATGTAACACAGACTTTGAAAACACAAGCGATAATCGTATAATGCAAACTATGAATGACTAGGCATAGATGTCTTTGTATTCAAAAGTGACAGTGTGTGGGAGTAACTGTAATACTTAATTAGATGATTATGAATTATATGTGTAATAATGACACACGTGTGGGTGTGTACACATGTGGACGGGAAGCTGTGCTGTTGGCCTCGTATGATATGGGGCATGGTGCAACGTGTGCTCGCTCCAAGAATAGCCCTTTGCAATCTGACCCTTGTGGCCAGTAGCTCAAACTACGGAAGGTAAAGCTTAGCCGCAGATAAGACCTGCTCCTACTTCTCAAAGAGGAGGGAGGAAAGATCATTAAACAGCAGATGATGTGACAATTAAAAAGGGTCTCAAGCTGTTTTCTGAGTAAACAATGAGGTCATGTCCCAAACCAAGTTGTGTAAGATGTGCATGTTTAAATATGCAAAAGTGTCACGATTGTCGTGACGTGATAGCTAGGTAAAGAAATCTAATGAGACTCTGTGAATATCACGAAACATGTCAAGGACATGCCCGGGTCTTATTTCACCCCAATTAGAAAGAAGCAAGAAATTAAGAAATTACTGTAATGAAAAACAAAATCAATTAGTATAGTAGCTGCCTTTGATTTTTTTTTTTTTTAAGAAATAAAAATATATGATTTTTTTGCATTATTTATTACAATTGAGACAATTATATTTGTAAATATTATAATCATATTATTTATTATGAATTTTTTTTGCATAGTATTTCTATTGTCTATTAAATAAATCCCAATTCAAATTACTGTATTAGATGTACATTTCTATTTTTACAAAAAATATATATACACTACCACTCAAAAGTTTGGGATAAGTAAGACTTGTAATGTTTTTTTAAAGAAGTCTCTTATGCTCATCAAGGCTGCATTTATTTGATCAAAAATACAGAAAAAAAACCAGTAATCTTGCAAAACATTATTACAATAAAAAATAATGGTTTCTATTTTAATATACTTTAAAATATAATTTATTTCTGTGATGCAAAGCTGAATTTCCATCAGCCATTACTCCAGTATAAAGTGTCACGTGATCCTTAAGAAATAATTCTAATATGCTGAATAGAATGTCAAAAATCTGCTTTTACAAAAGGATTTATTATCTTTACACAAAATATAATTATTTTTTTTCCCTTTTGATTTTGTGGTGAAATGAGACCTGAAATGTTTTCATAAGGTTCAATTTAGCATGTGTGTAAATAATTAAAACAGACTTACTTCCTTGTGGTCCATAAAACTTCACTACAAATTCATTGAGTCCACTCAGGATTGTGACTTCATGTTTACTCTCGATACTAATAGAAACGGTTAAGGCAAACTCAAAAACACTGACTTTAAGCAATTTCCAAAAGCAAAAACAAACATTAAAATTCACAATTAATTTATAGAAAATACTTAAAAACAGCACGGGGGAAAGAGTTTAATCAGGGTCAAATAGGACAGACTCACCATCAAATTCAAAATGACAATTAACCATTAAAAAAAAAATAGTGTGAGGATTCACTAAAATGACCTTTCAACCCACAAAGAGGGCAGATTTACACCAACAGAACTGAGATTCTCACTTGGCCTTTATTCTTTGACCATCAATAATTATCAAGAGGTTCAGCTCAGCAGATCAGATAGCAAAAACACAATCCATGGTTCTGACCCACAGCTCTCTGACTGATGCACACAGGGCATCAAGGCAACTCAATACGACACTCCAGTCATTAGCTATGGTTGTCAGGCTGTCACTTCTCATATTGCTGGCACAGAGAGCTTTAGTCAGACCCTCGCTGAGCAAGACAATACATGCTCACCACCACACCAAGACCATGTACGAGACCCGACACTCTTAAAGACACACACAGTCTGCCAACTCAGCTTGAACACAACATGCATCCAAAACGCAGTTCTCAAGCAGACTTGGCCATTGCCACAGTTCGTATTTTAATTGAAGGAGTTACCGATGAGGTTATCGCGTTTGTCAGCTGTTGTGTAGGCTGCACTGTGACTCAAACTGTATACTCACGCTGCCCAGACTAGCTAATGAAGGCAAACATGTTTATGCTCTGTTGAAACTGTGATGTGTCCTGTGACTTGTCAGAGTTTAACCAGTTGAGTGCTCGTCTCAAGGGTGCCTGTATCAACTGATGATTCTCGGCTCTGCTGGGAAACAGAGCTGTCAATTTCAAGAGGTCGCCTTTAAACATCTGGTGCGAGAGACTGCAGGACTCCCGGGAGAGGTGTGGAAGCTGCTGTCTGTCAGATTATCATTCATTGTGACTTTTCTGAGTCTCAAGTTGCATGAACTGAATGACTAATTACGCAGAGATTTATCTCCAAAAATCTGACATTGAGGAGCCAATGAATTTTATACCACAAAAGGCTGAAGAATAATTTTCAATATTCATTTTAAATCTATCTGGGAGAGGGGCAGAACTAAAGATCTGTTCACGGATGGAAAAGGTGCTAAATGGAAGAATAATAGTGCCAGTAAAAAAAAAAAAGAAGTTAATTTATTTGTAAATATGTGTAACTTATTTAGACATTTTATTATTTTTTTTATTTAATATTTTTTAACTGATAATTAATTTTTTTAATGCCACTAGTTCTCCACAGTGATACAATGGAGCCAGATTGACAGGTTGAGCATGACAGAAAGGGATAGTGTTTTCCGTTTCAAGACACCAGCTGGCTTCTTCATCAGTTATAGCACTAAGAGGCTGGTCACCAAGGTGTTAAACATCATGGATTTATTTTAGGCTGTGAAGCATCTGCAGAGGCTGAGAGAATAGTGGAAGCACCCAGTAAAGTGCGTTTCTGCACAATGCTTTCATGCTTTTACACTCACAGATTCAAATCTGAACAAAGCAGACCCATCATTAGCTGCTTATCCTCAACAAATACAGAGACCTGGAACAAACGTGATCCTGAAGATCGGACTGATGACTCGTGCGTAATAACCTCGATTTTCACACGCCTTTTTCTTTAACACATCAGATTCCGTTCAGGTAGGAATTCTGCCGTCTGGTTGCTCTCGACGAGTCTAGTGAAATAAAGAAGGGGGTGAGTGTATGCGTGGAGCATCAGCAGACCTGTTAAAGAATCTGTGCCCATTGGAGAAGCACCACGCTGAGCTGTCTGGCTGTGCCCAATGACACATGGGACTACTTTTTGACCTGTATTTCAAGCCTCTTTTGGATAGACACAAAAGCAATTGGTCAAGCATGTACAGACACATGTGCAGACACACACACACACACACACACACACACACACACACACACACACACACACACACACAGAAAAGCAGAAGCCCGGAGACTGGAGAGGTTTTTCTCCTACAATAGATAGAGGTTGTAGGAGAAAAACCTACAGGAAAAAATACAGGTCATATTCATCTCCACCTTCATCTTTTGAGAGTCATTTATCAGCAATGTACATTAAAACCTCTATTGATTTGATAATTCAATTTTCCTTCAATTCTTCGGCAGAACTGCAAGGCACGTGTTTCTCCTCTGAGGCATCAGTGACACAGATTTAAAATAGATCATTATTAACTGTCCAGAAATCCTGCATGCATTAAAGAAATGGTTCTGTCATTATCCGCTCATCCTCAAGTCACCCCAATAATATATGATGTTTTTTCCAGTGTGGAACACAAAAGATGATATTTAGAAGATTAAAAATACTATAAAAGCGGTCCACAGGATTCTATAATACAAGACAATTTGAGTCATGTTTTACTACAAATTTCACCCTTAAACCTTCAGAAGACTTACAAGGCAAAGAAGTTGTGTGGACTACTTTTATGGTGCTTTTTTTTGGCATTTTTGAAGCTAGACAGAAGCAGTCCCCATTCACTTTCACTGTTTTGAAAAGAACAGTGTTAATATTCTTCCAACATCTCCTTTTGCAATCCACTGAAGCAAGAAAATAATTGTTAATGAAAATTAATACTATTAAAAATCATTTTTAGTATTTGAAATAAATCCAAAATAAAATAAAATCTAAATATTAGATGAAATAATAAAAATGTAGTTTAGAAAAAAAAAAAGAAAAAAAAAAAAGAATTAAAGCTAAATATAAACATATAAAAAAATAACTACAGCACATAGCAAAATGACACAAAGCTGAAATTAAACTGAAAATTAAAACGAAATCTAAAAATAAATAAATGATGAAAATCAAAAAGTGTCCATTTTAATTTCTGGGTTAACTACTTCCTACAGTTCTTACAAAGTGAAAGCACACTGTTGTATTGATCAAACCAGTGATACATCCCTCCCCCAAACATGCAGGCAAGAGAAATGCTGTGTTTGCTTTGACGATGCCTGATACTGTTCAACTGTTGTATGGATTAAGCCATAATCTACAGGAGACCATTGAGCCAGTCTTCCTTTACGCACACGTATAATCTAATCATACCAAAGAGACTCATCAATCACCTCACTTAGAAATATCAAATACATTTAAGGAACAAGAGCGAGCACCAATCGTATTAACACTTATGTATGTTGAAACAGCACACGCTTAGATATTGGTTCCTACCAGCTGCTGCAGTTGGTGACACAATGCAGTCGTGCACAGATGATTACAAGCGTTTATAAACCTGTGTGGACGAACAGGTCCAGACAAGCATATGTCTAGGTATATGATCTTATAGAGAAGCTGCCTTGTTCTGCTTTGCCAATTGGGTTAAAAAAAGAACAAAAAGATTTTTGTAAATGGTCACCCCATGCGGAAGAAAACCACGGAGGGTTCACCTTCTTTTAGAAGTCTGTTGTGAGAAAACAACATACTAGCCTGGACAGAAAAATGAGGGACAAACCCAGCATCTAAGACAGCCATGGAATTTATGCTCAAATAAACACTTTCTAAGCAGTAAGAACTATTTTGGTTGTTTTGTTAACTTGACAAATAAATGAACAAAGTATTTGGGGCTTCCATCGGCACTACTTCATATTGTTTTATGAACAGCATCAGACGTATTTGGCCATTCATCATGTCTCACTGTTTTTTTTTTTTTAAATGTCTTTTTAGTAAAAAATAAGGTAACACTTTATTTTACAGTTTGCTTGTGAATTAATGTGCCACAACCAACCACTAAATTAAAAATTAAGCTATTTTTTTCCCTGTAATTTAAATATTTTAATGCTAGCAAAGTTAGCTAAACAGGCATCTTTGGCCATTTATCATGTCTCACTGTTTCAATTATTTTTAAATATTTTTATCTATTTTTATCACTTTTTTATATTATAGAATAGTAATGCCACAACCAATCATTAAAATAAAAACTGTTTTAATATGTTAAAGCTGCTACAGATAATGCACTAATTTGTCTCATTTTAACATTATGCTTAACGGTGTAGCAAAAAAGAAAAGAAAAAAGTTTCAAATTAAATGTAGTTTTAGTTAGATTTGTAGTCGTGGAAATGTATTTTGGTTTGTTAGTTTTTTTTCCTTTTGTAGGTGCATTTCTTTGTGTGATTCTCGAGAACGATGATACAAACTAAAATCATAACAAAATTGAAATACAGGTATGCAGGCTAACAGATAGGTGGAGTGTGTTCTTCTCAGTCATTTTATTAGTACAGGTAAAGTCGACGGCCACCGCGCTGAATCACAGCATGAGTCACTGGGTACAATTGCAATTAAATCCGTCTCTTGCTAAAAAGACACAAACACAATAGCCAGGTTTGCCCCCCTCCCTGCAGGAGCAAATCCCTCCTGTTTATTCTGGATTGCCAAGGATGAAAACAGCAGGCAGACATCAACTGCCAAGGCACGACAGCGTAGAAGCATGTTCTTTCCTGAGACGCATTCATTCATCATTACAGACACACAGAGAGGAGGTAATCTTGTTCTCTGACACCTAATGCTAACGGCTGGCCTTGGGGTGCAGGCATAATATTTACCCACTGCCAACAGGGTGGAAAACACTGTCTGCTTGTTAGCGCCACATTACTAACAGATGATTAAAGACAATACATCACTATTCTACAACAGACCAGTTCATTTCATGTAGTGTCTACATAAAAGCCTTGTGGTCTAAAATATTTATATTTATGCCAAGGGCTGTGGACATTCTGTCCAAAGAGTTTCTATTTTGTAGTCCACTCAGACACCTCAGTCCACTAAACAGCTGGAGCTTGTGGTGCACATCTACAAAACAGACAGACACACTCAAGCCCTCACACAAGCTAAATGTGCTAACTATTTTTATTTAAACCTCATATTAAGGTATAATTGTGTGCAAATGTTACCACCTGGAATTTTCCATGAGCATCCTTAATACCGTGCTAGATGCCGGGACACAAATCAAAAATTTCAACTAGATTTTGAGAATCTATGAGTTGTCAATGAGAATTCGTCAACCTAACTTGCTTTTGCAAAAACCGTAGAAAATCTTGCAAGCAAACAAGTTTCAATTGGCAAAGGTGTAGCGATGCATGAAGCACAGCTCGAAGTCACTTTTTGTTGGTCAACACAGCACATTCGCATGACCAGCATGAACCTTATGCAAAATCGGTTATCAAAATCATTCCCAAGTGAAATACCAGAAAATATGGATTGCAATTGAAATGACTGGATTTCGCATGTGAAATTTTGCAAAACAAAGGCAAATGTGAAGTTTATGGGTTCCCAAAATCATATACCAACAACGCCCATCAACTTACACTGACATTAAAGACAAATAAAAAGATCTATGGATAAAAAACCCTGCATTTTTTACTTCTAAAACTGCACTCTAACAGAAGAGTGACTCTTTGTGAAAAGGCGAGAAGGTTTTTTTCTCTCTCACTGTCATGCAGTCACAAGCACACCATTTTGCTCAAGTTGGGCAGATGAAAGACAGGAAGTGTAGCAGTTTTTAGTCTGCATGACACTAAGAGGAAGTACACGGGTTCACTGATGGAGAAACAGACAAGACGCACCTTGAGGTTTAAGATTCCATTCAACCATCTAGCGAATATGGGTCATGATTTGCATCAGGTGAAACAGGGTTATAAAAGGCAGAAGTCAAACCTAACAGGAAGCCATCTATGGCCAATACCAGTACCCCTAAAACAACTTCCTATTCTAGTGTAACCTCACACCCTTCCCCAACTCCCTGGCTCAGTGACTCGCTGTGTAAGTCTGCTCTGCTCAGGACTGAAGTTATGCTGTGTGCAGCTTACCTCTGGAGTCACATGCATGAAAGTTCAAGGATTTTTCTCAAACCTGGTTAGATCTCAGAAAGAGATTGGGTGAATTAGTGAGAACTGCATATTATTACAGTGACCATTCCTGCGTAAACGTCTGGCTATAGCAAAATCCACACAAAACAAAAATTTTATAAAAATCTCCCTTCCCTTGTCCTAACTCTCTCCATTAGGGCTCTATTTAAATCACCATGCAATTAGAGCAATATATACAAATATGTAATATGGATAAAAACATCTAGCTATATCACACAGCCCTATGCCAGAACAGAAACACCACCCTGCTGTGACATGACATCAACTCTCTGAGTATGTGCTGTGATGTGGTATAATGTATCACAAACTACAAGTGCAAACACCTATATAGGCTTTGTGGGACTGTCGTAGATGCGTGCACTGTTTAGATAAATTCTAGATAAGTCTGTTTGCATTACGTCTCATGAAGGCATAGTCATCTGTAGCCATCTTTACTAGAGAATTGTTGAATAAACATTATGACACACTTGCATATTCGTTGCCAACGTGCACATCACAAACATTATGCGGTGCCAGCATATTCCATAAGTGTGCATTTCTTGATTTGAAAGTGAGCAGCAGCTGCCTGGTTATATGTGTGTGTATGAGAGTGGATGAGTGAGAAGAGGGGAAGAGAGCAGAATCTGGCTCTACAATTCACTTTCGGTAAAGCACAACCCAGTGCCTTAAGGGCTAAGACTGTTTACCTGCAAGATTACTAACCTCATCCACACCATCTCTCATAGCGTTAACTAATAAAGCAGGAAACCATAGCAGGAAATTATTACTAATGAGACTCATCAGTACAGTTACATGATCAGTGTCATTCTGAACTACAGAGGACAAGAGGTCTGGAGAATGGATGGATGGGTCATTACAAAGTGAGTTTCAGACTGGGACCCACTTAATATTTTTTAAAAATAGAAAGCAATAAACAATTAGTTTAAAATTTGCTTCCCCCAAAAAAAAAAAAAAAAAAAAAAAAAAAAGTGACCAAAATATAGCCTATTCTTGGTAGTTGACTGATAAAATTAAATTAAATTAAATTTTGGAGCATGGAAATAACGGATGCATATACATCATGTTGGCCAGTTGTTCTGTTACCTTAAACCACAGTGGATGTGTTGACCATCACTGCTGGCCTCAGAGTCCAGTTGACCTCTGGCCTAAGCGGCTGAAATGGACGCTGACCTTTAACGCTGCATGCTGTGCCCTCTAAATAAGTGGAGCTGTTGTAAAATAGTGCTCAGGGAAGTGACATACACGTGTGCTATTTCACACAGGGTCACGCAAAAATCTGGGGCCTGTACCATAAAGCCATTAAGCTGGCTAGCCAGGTAAGTTTTAGTTTAGTTTGCCCCAACTTTGGGTTTTAGATACCATGAAAGTGGTTTGGCTTTTAGCTGTGTTCATCACCATAGTAACTTGCACTCCATGGCTAACCTGCTACAGGGCAGGTTATGTTTTGGTTTAGAGATCTCAAACCGAAATTTGACCAATCAGCTTTGAACAAAGTGACTGACACAAAGTCATTCCCCCAGTTTCTCTTGCTCCAGATTAAAGGGCACTACATAGTAAATAAATTAAAAGATAAAATCGTCTGGCTTTTAATGATGAATATTTATTATAATTATTTTATATGATTTATATACGGTGAGTATAGAAAAAAATCACCCCCCTTTAAAATAATCACATTTTGTTGCTTTGCAGCCTGAAATGAAAGCGGACACATTTTTTGTTTTATCCAGCTGTATTTACTCAGTGCAACTTATAACATCCAAGTGAAAGATATAACACCAACATGTCAGAAAAAAATAAATAAAAAAAACAATCACTGAGTTGGAAAAAGGATCAGAATTTTATTGAACCACCTTTTGCTTTAATTACAGCCTTTAGTCTGTTGGGATATGTCTCGGTCTCTACTAACTTTGCACATCTAGAGCATTCGTGGACTACAGTCTTCAAATCATTCCACAGATTTTCACTGGGGTTTTAGTCTGGGCTCTGACTAGGCCATGCAAGGACATTCAACTTTTTCTCCTTCAACCACTGTGAGGTCAGTTTTGCTCTGTGCTTTGGGTCATTTTGCAAGGTAAACCTTCTACCCATTGACAAATTTCTGGCAGAAGGCAGCAGATTTTCCTCAAGAATTTAATTTTGGTATTTTGCCCCATCCATTTTTCCTTCTATCCTGAGAAGTGCTCCAGTCCCTGCTGCAGAGAAACACCCCCATCACAAGATATTACCACCTCCATGCTTTACTGTAGGAATGCTGTTATTTGGATGGTGAGCTGTACTGGATTTCCGTCAGACACATCGTTTGGTGTTGAGGCCAAATCATTCCATTTTAGTCTCATCTGCCTCAGAATCTTCAAGGTGCGTTTTGGTTGATGTCGAGACCAAATAATTCAATTTTAGTCTCATCTGCCTCAGAATCTTCAAGGTGCGTTTTGGCAAAGCTCGGTCGTGACTGCATGTGACCTTTTTTGAGGAGTGGCTTTTTTCTTGCAACCCTCCCATACAAGCCACATTTGTGGAGAATTTGTGATATTGTTGTCACATGCACACAATGACCACTCTTTGCAACTGCTTCAGAGTGGCTGTAGGTCTCTTTGTAGCCTCTCTGACCAGTTTCCTCCTGGCTCTTTCATCCAGTTTGGAGCGACGTCCTGATCCAGGGAGGGTCTGTGTGGTACCAAATACCTTCCACTTCTTAATAATAGACTTCACTGTGCTTCTAGGCATTGATAAAGTCTTTGGCATTTTTTTGTATCCATCTCCTGACTTGTGCCTGTCCACAACTTTATCCCGGAGATCTTCTGGCAGTGCCTTGCCACCCATAGTTGATTGTTTGTTTCAGTTGCACTACCAAGGACTGAAATGCTCCAGGAAAGCTCTTTTCATGCGGAGCTAAAAAATGACCACAGCTGATCAGAGTTGAAAGTCAAAGTCTTTGTGTGCCATTGAGAAGATGATTAGCTACACCTGATTGAGTTTACAAGTAATTTTTAGGAGGGGGGTGATCCTTTTTCCAACTCAGTGATTCTGTTTTTTTTTGTATTGTTTTTTAATTTATTCTGACATGTTGGTGTTTAATCTTTCACTTG